AGCCCTCCCTGACCACCTTGGAAAGGACTCCGCCTCTGTCCCCAGAAATCCGCCGGGCAGGCCAGCAGGCGGGAGGTGACGCTGCAGTCTAGAGGCCCAATTTCTTCTTCCTCAGAAAAACCCAATTTCTGCTCTTAAGGCCTTTGGACAAATTGCAATCCTGCCGCAACCCCACGTCTTTGAGGAAAATCTTCACGTAAAGTCGACGGGTTGCGGGTGTTAACCACATCTGCGAAATGTGACAACACCTGGACTCGTGTTTGATGAAGTCACTGGGCGCTGTCGCTGAGCGTTGACACTGAAAACCACCCACAGCACCCTCCGAACTGGAGCCTCATCCCGGCTGGGCCCCTGCGTCTGTCTTATGCGGCACCGTGTCGCAGAGGCCGGACACCCAACATACATGGTCTCGCGCCACATAACGACATTCTGGTCAGTGGGGGGCCACGTTATACAACCGTGGTCCCATAAGATTACAGTGGAGTTGAAAAATTCCTGTCGCTTGGTGGCATTGTCACCATTGCAACGTTGTATCACAATTATTTTACTTCTGTTTAACTTTAGGGCAGCGTAAGCACGCGGTGTTTATAAAGTCTGCAGAAGCGCTCAGTAACGTCCTAGACCTTCCCGTTCACGCACCGCTCACTCACCGACTCCCCCAGGGCAACCTCCAGTCCTGCAGGCTCCATTCACGTCCAGTGCCCTATACAGGGGCACAATTTTTTATCTTTACGCCATATTTTTACTATGCCTTTTCTCTACTGAGATACACAAAGAGCATTGTGTTACAAACGCCTTAGTATGGGAACACGCGGCGCAGTTTGTAGCCAGGAGCAAAAGGCTATGCGTGTAGCCTGGGTATACAGTAGGCTGTACCATCTGGGTGTGTGTGAGTACACTCCGTGATGCTCACGCAACGATGAAATTGCCTCACCACGCATTTCTCAGGATGCATGCCGTCCTTAAGCAACGTGCGACTGTGTTTGCTGAATGAACGAAAAGTAGGTCCCAAGGCTGCTCCCACTTTACTGATGAGGAAAACTGAGGCTCTGAGAGGAGAAGGCGCCACCTAGGCCCGCAGCCCAGTGGTGGCAGGGCTGGAGTTGGCTCTCAGACTCTTGGTCACCCGCACTGTTTCGGCACCACGCTGCTGGGATGCCTTCTGCAGCAGGACATTCTAGCTGGAGCCCGGTGACACTCCTTCCGATGAGAAGCCAATGTAGGATCCGCGCGGACCGTCCAAGGGTGTGAGGCTGAGTCACATCCTGGCGGGAATCCAAGACAGTGCCAGCTGCAAAGCGTTTTCCTCTGGCAGGAGGAGTTGGTGGCTGGACAGGGCCCCTGCTTGGCCGGTGGGGATTTTTTTGTTCCCACCAGAGTTTGCGCGCATGTGCCGGCCAGGCAGAAGGGGGCAGGCGAGCGCAATGACCGAGGGCTCGGGGCAGGCGTCAGGTGGCCTAGACAGAGTCTCAGCTCTGCCACCTTGAATGGTTCAACCCGGGCAGGGTCCCCTCACCCTGCCTCAGTGTCCCTCTCTGTGCAATGGGCTTCTACCTGCCTCCTGGGGTTACTGTACGGAACAAACAAGATCACACTGTGAAAATCCCAGTGTGGTGCCTGGCACACGGGGGACACCACGTACAGGTGTGAGGTATGATTCTAGATGATTCTACAACCACAGGCATTGTAGGCTCAGGTGCTGGTGGGGGCCAGGAAAGCAGAGAAAAGAGCCCGAGGGAAATTCTGACACCTGGGAGAGCATCGGAGAACAATCCCTGCTGATTGTTACCTGTTGGAGGCCGGGCACGGTGGCTCACGCCTGCAATCCCAGCACTCTGGGAGGCCAAGGCGGGAGGCTCGCTTGAGGTCAGGAGTTCGAGACCAGCCTGAGCAAGAGCAAGACCGCGTCTCTACTAAAAATAGAAAAATTAGCCGGGTGTGGTGGTGGCACCTGTAGTCCCGGCTACTTGGGAGGCTGAGGCAGGAGGATCGCTTGAGCCCAGGAGTTGGAGGCTGCAGTGAGCTGTGATGACGCCACTGCACTCCAGCCTGGGAGACAGAGCGAGACTCTGTCTAAAAAAAAAGATTGTTATCCGTTGGGAAGGAAAGGTCTCCTGATCCCAGAAAAGATGGAAATCTAGACTGTTTGTGTCACATCTCTGATTTGACAGCAAATGTAGAATGTTTTAAATGCCGCGTGGGCGGGACCCAGCTAGCTTCGGCGCATCCGCTGTCAGCCTGCAGTCCTGTCGCACCGTTTTGGGCGGCCTTGTAAGTGGGTAGTGTGTTTCCTGCACGCTGGGACCCTGGCGTGTGAGTTGACTCTTCCGCCCCGGTGAGCCTCTTTGAAACCTTCTTGTGACTTTATTTAAGCTTGCTTTTTTTTTTTTAGTTGAAGTGAAATTCACATAACATAAATTTTTACAGTGCACAATTCGGTGGCATTTAGTACATTCACAAAGTGACACAGCCACCACCTCTATCAAGTAGATATTTTCATCTCCCCAAAAAGAAACCCACCCTATTAAGTCACCCCCAAATCCCCAGCCCCTGGCACCCACGAATCCACGTCCCGTCTCTGTGGATCTGCCTGTTCTGGGCATTTCATACAAACGGAGTCTCAGACTGTGTGTCCTTCTGCGTCTGGCGTCTCTCACTGAGCACGATGTCCTCAAGGTCCCTCCACGCTGTGGCCTGTGTCTGAGCCTCGTCCCTTGTTGTGGCTGAGTGATGGTCCACATGTGGATGGACCAAGCTGTGTTTATCCCTCCATCTGTCAGAGGACACTGGGCTGTTTCTGCTTGGGGGCTGTTACGGATCACGGTGCTATGCATGTTCTGTGTGGACAGAAGTTTTCACGTCCTTGGGGCACCCCCTCGGTTTTGACCTTGCCGTCCACCGGCGCTGGGTGACACCTGATTCATCCCTTACCCCCAGGACCCGAAGATGCACTGGGAACAGAGCAGTTACTCAAAGGACATTTGATGAATGTGTCACTGGGGAAGAGAGGGAGGGAGGGAGGGGGACACCTGGTACCTAGATAGATTCCACCCTGAAAATGCTGCCAGCTCGCGCCCTAAGCGGAACAAAGGCGAGGAAATAAATAGTTTCTTGAAAGGAAAGGAAAAAGCATCCCACCGTCCTTCCGGTCTAAACAGCTGGCCTTGCAGCTGAGCAGGCAGCTCAGAGTTGCAGAGAAGAATTAATTGGACACCTCCGCCTGGGTTCCCTGAGTCAGCACACCCTGCAGCTAAAGGCGCTGGCAGCCCCGAGCAAAGCTCTTCTGCCTGGAATGGGATGCTTCCCAGGGGAGCGAAGGAGGCAGAGCTCCGGGTCAAACTCAGGCAGCACGAGCCCTTCCCTTCCAGAAGGAGTCCAAGGATGGCCAGAGAGCCACGGCCGCTTCTGCAAATCGGCGCTCAGCGGCGCACACTCCGAGCGGGAGTCTGGGTCCACCTTAAAGGGACATCAATGTATATGGTTGGCCGAGTTTCTTAAAATAAGCTTTATGATTGAGAGCAGTTCTAGATTTACAGAAAAGTTGCAAACTTTGCACAGAGAGTTCCTGAGCACTCTGCACCCGGTTTCTGCCGTGATTAACGTTTTCCATTAGTGGAGTACCTTTGTCACAATGAATGGAGCAAGATGGATACGTTATTAGTAACTGACTCCACACTTGATTCAGATTTTCTTTTTCTTTTTTTTTCTTTTTTTTTAAAGATGGGGTCTTGCTCTGTCACCCAGACTGGAGTGCAGTGGCACCATCACAGGTCACTGCAGCCTCCAACTCCTGGGCTCAAGCAATCCTCCTGCCTCGGCCTCCCGAGTAGCTGGGACTACAGGCGCCACCACACCCAGCTAATTTTTTAATTTTTTGTAGAGATGGGGTCTTGCCATGTAGCCCAGGCTGGTCTCAAACTCCTGGCCTCAAGAGATCCTCCCTCCTCAGCCTCCCAAAGTGCTAGGATTACAGGCATGAGCCACCGCACCTGGCCTCTATACTGCACTTTTTGGGATGACATCACTGTGTGCAGCTGGTGCTTAAACAGCAGGGAGCTATCTCCTTGACGGTGCATATCTACATGAATTATTTGCAATTATCCCTGCACAGGAGATATGTCTCTTCTCCCCTATTTATTTATTTATGCAATCATTTATTTATACCAGTACAGACTCATAGACATTTATTTTATACTTTGGGTTATAATCCAATATTTCATTATTTATGCAGCTGCTCTAACCACTCCAGCATTGACGTGGAGAGTTCTTATGGTTGACTCTTTTTTTTTGAGACAGAGTCTTGCTCTGTTGCCCAGGCTAGAGTGCAATGGCGTCATCCTAGCTCACAGCAACCTCGAACTGCGGGGCTCAAACGATCCTCCTGCCTCAGCCTCCCGAGTAGCTGGGATTACAGGCATGAGCCACCGCGCCCAGCCTCAAAAGGTTTAATATTCACTTGATCTGAAAGGAGCCCTCCAGCGCTGATTTTTTTTTTTTTTTGAGACAGAGTCTCACTCTGTCCCCCAGGTTAGAGTGCCATGGCATCAGCCTAGCTCACAGCAACCTCAAACTCCTGGGCTCAAGCGATCCTCCTTCCTCAGCCTCCTGAGTAGCTGGGACTACAGGCACATGCCACTGTGCCCAGCTAATTTTTTCTATTTTTAGTTGTTTGGCTAATTTCTTTCTATTTATAGTAGAGATGGGGTCTCGCTCTTGCTGAGGCTGGTCTCGAACTCCTGACCTCAAGTGAGCCTCCCGCCTTGGCCTCCCAGAGTGCTGGGATTACAGGTGTGAGCCACCGTGCCTGGTCAAGCGCTGATGTTTTATGAGTTTTCCATGCTAAGAAAGAAACGTATTAATATTTGGGCCTGTGATTCCCCAGAACTAACTGTGTTTTGTTGCTGTTGTTTTGTCTGCACTCGTGTGGCTGGACCTGTGCGGGTCACCTGGCGCTCCTCGGGCCGGATTTGCGGTGCCTGGTGCGATGCCCGCATCTGCAGGCCGCTGCCAGAAGAGACGGGGATGGAATTGCTCGGCAGCCCGGCAGGGGACACGTCCTGTAAGTTTCCACATGCGCAGACACGGTCCCCTCGTTCCCAGGTATCAGTTCTGCCTGGGGCTGTCACCATAGAAATATCAGAGGCCGCACACATGCTGAGTAGAATGTTCTGGTCTGAGACCTGCAGGGGAAGTGGTTGTGGCAGGACCAATGAGAGCACTGTCACAAAGACAGCATGCTGTGTTGCTGTGTGTCCTTGAGTTGATCACTCAACCTCTCTGTGCCTCCTACACCTCATCTACTAAATGCAGGTAGTGATCTTCTGACAGAGGAGATATGTAAGGATTAAATGAGGTGATACATGTGAAGTGTTCCCAGGGGGTGCCAGGCACAAAGTCAGCACAGAGGAGGGTGCCCTGGGAGGCTCTGCTCTGAGGTTCCAAATGTCCAGACACTGGGGACAGGTGTCTCCAAGGGGGGCTCCGAGGAGTAAACCAGTCCTCCCCAGCCCTTATGACTGTGCAGGATTTACCGGGTTACGAGCTCCCTGTCCCACCCTCTCCCGTGTCTCGGGCACCAGCAACGGAAAGGCATCCGTGTCATTGTCCCGTGAGTACTCGGGGCAGAGCCGCATCAGCCTCTGTCACCCCAGAACCCCATCCCCGGGACGGGCAGTGGAGGAAGGAAGCGGGAGAGGCCTGGATGTGGCAGGGCCAGCCTGGGCGAGGAAGGAGAGGGAACATTCACCAGGTCCCCAAGACGTGTCCAGCAACCACCTGTCTGGCCCCATGTAGGACGTGTCCCATGTGCACCAAAACCTGTGTCCGTGTCCTCGGGGCTGCCGTAAGGAGCCACCACAGCCCGGGCAGCCCAAGCAACAGAAGTTCGTTTTCTCCCAGTTCTGGAGGCTGAAGTCCAAGGTCAACGTGTGGGCAGGGCTGATTCCTCCTGAGGCCGTGACAGGGTCGGTCCCAGGCCTCCCTTGGCTTCTGGTGGCGGCCGCGTCCCTTGGCGTGTAGAC